ACAATTCACATACTGTTTTTAACCACTGTAAATTGAAAAATGTTCAAAAAAACACACCACCCGACAAGTACTGTCATTGACTCCCAGCAACACCTTTTTTAGCTTTGGCCATGGTAATTAGCGTACGAAGGGATTAAAAAACTGATTTTGATTATTCTGTGTTTGTTTGTGTTGCGTCTTCAATTAAATGACTGTCAATTTTTTTCGCCGACTTATTGTTCTTTACATTTTCACATGTGAACAGTCATTCACTTGGATTTCAATTTTTAATCAGCTACAAAGGTAGACTATGGCCAAAGTGTTTGTTTGCGGATTGTAGGTTGATTTTTTTGTTGTTCGTCTTTGGATAACTCAAACTCAGGTGTTGCGGAATTTAAATTTTCGTTGTCCCCATCGTTTTTTGTTTTGTTTGTTTTCTTTTCTGGCCCATTGTGATAAATTGGAATTAGTGCGCAAAGGCCGAAAGGAAAATAAACAGAGAAAAGGAGGAGGAACAACAAGAACAGAAACAAAATTACAAACTCATTTTGCGTTGACTTCCGATACAATTTGCATTTCATTCAAAAAAAAAAAAAAAAAAAAAAAACAGCAGGAATGTAAGCGACAGTGGGTACTTGGGTAAAAATCATTTTAAAATCAGGTAATAGCTCTACTTGAAAAAAAATGTACTAAAAAATCTCGTCCTAGGGCTACTTGGAAAAATGTTAATACAAAATCGGGTCCTTGGGCTACTTGGAAAAAATATTTGAAACCAGTTAGGAAAGTAGTAAAGTCGGACTGGGCCGACTATATGATACCCTTCACCACTTTGGGTATATTCTACACATGTCTCCTAACAGCGTTTGTGTTATATATCTATATCTGAACCGATTTTAGAGAAACTTGCCAAACTTCACGAAACTTTGCTCACATCATTCTAGACTTAATTCAGTACCCTATACCAAAATTCGTGTAATTCGAAAGATATATAGGGACTTTGGTGCACCAATTACCTTAAATCGGATGAAAATATATATGGTAGCTATATCTAAATCTGAACCGATTTTCAAGAAACTTGGCAGACATCATTCTCGATCTTATAACATAACTCCGTGCCAAATTTCGTGCACATCAAAAGATTTCCAGGGACTTTAGTGGACTATTTACCTAAAATCGGGCGAAGCTATATATGGGAGCTATATCTAAATCTGAACCGATTTTCACGAATCTTTGCACACATCATTCTATAATTAATTTAGTACGCTGTGCCAAATTTCGTGTAAATCGAAGATATATAGGGACTTTGGTACACAATTAACCTTAAATCGGACGAAAATATATATGGGGGCTATATTTAAATCTGAACCGATTTTCACGAAACTTTGCACATATCATTCTGGACATAATTTAGTAAGTTGTGCCAAATTTCGTGCAAATCGAAATATATACAGGAACTTTGGTACACCATTTACCTTAAATCGGACGAATATATATATGGGAGCTATATCTAAATCTGCACCGATTTTCGCGAAACTTTGCACACATCATTCGTGACCTTATTCATTACGCTGTGCCAAATTTCGTGCAAGTCGAAAGATATATGGGGACTTTAGTGGACTATTTACCTAAAATGGGGCTAAACTATATATGGGAGCTATATCTAAATCTGAACCGATTTTCACGAAACCTAACACACATCATTCTACACCTTATTTATTACGCTGTGCCAAATTTCGTGCAAATCGAAAGATATATAGGGACTTTGGTACACCATTTACCTTAAATCGGACGAAAATATATATGTGGGAGCCATATCTAAATCTGAACCGATTTTTTCCAATAGGGTTTGTCCTTGGGCCAAACAAATGAGCTGTGCCAAATTTCATCCAATTCGGATCATAAATGCGACCAGTACTTTAGACATAAATGCGACTTTAACATGGACAGACGGACGGACGGGCGTACATGCATAAATCGACTCTGAAAGTGATTCTATGCATATTCTCAAAAGGAGCCATGGGTCTATCTCGATTCCTTTTGCCTGTTTCAAGCATATGCACAAGGACATAATACCCTGTACCACAGTGTGGTGAAGGGTATAAAAATGGAGTCTTAGGACTACTTGGAAAAATATTCTTTTAAAAAATCCACGATTTAGAATACTTGGAAATAATATTCGTATAAAAATCCACTCCCATGGCAATCGGTACCTTAGGATACTTTGAAAAAAATTTTCTTTTAAAAAATCCTCGACATAGGACACTTGAAAAATAAAATTTTCTTTTAAAAAATCCACGCCTAGGGCTACTTGGAAAAAGTTTTCTTTTAAAAAATCCTCGTCTTAGGACACTTGAAAAAATATTATTTTAAAAAAACTTCGCCTTAGGACACTTGAAAAATATCTCCCTTAAAAAATCCACGTCTAGGGCTACTTGAAAAAAATATTCTTTTAAAAATCCACGCCTTAGGTAACGTAAAAAAAATATTCTTTTAAAAAATCCTCACCTAAGGCTACTTGGAAAAAATATTCTTTGGCAATCGGTACCTTAGGATACTTTGAAAAAAAAAATTCTTTTAAAAAATCCTCGACTTAGGACACTTGAAAAATAAATTTTTCTTTTAAAAAATCCACGCCTAGGGCTATCTGGAAAAAATTTTCTTTTAAAAAATCCTCACCTTACGACACTTGAAAAAAATATTCTTTTAAAAAAAACTTCGCCTTAGGATACTTGAAAAAAATATTCTTTTAAAAAACGTCTCCTTAGGATACTTGAAAAAATATCTCCCTTAAAAAATCCACGCCTTTGGCTACTTGAAAAAATATTCTTTTAAAAATCCACGCCTTGGACAACTTGAAAAAATATTATTTTAAAAAATCCTCACCTAAGGCTACTTGGAAAAAATATTCTTTAAAACAATCCAGGACTTCGGCTACTTAGGAATAACATTCTCTTTAAAATCCATCCTAAGGCTACTTAGAAAAAAATATTCTATTTAAAAACCAGTAAGGAAAGTAGTAAAGTCGGACGGGGCCGACTATATGATACCCTTCACCACTATGGGTATATTAAGCAGGACTATAACATAAAATTGGATGAAAAAATGTGATATTTATCTAAATGTGAATCTACCTAGATCTATCCATAAAGTATGTCAATCGACTTCAAACAAATATAAATAGGTCATCCGTTGGGCTATGTGTGTACTTCTAGAAAACGCAACTACGTAATTCTATGCTCAATTTTTTAAGTTGTGCAAAATTTGATGTCAATCTGACTAACATGAGGAGTTTGATGCCCAATTTACTAGAAATCGGGCGAAAATATATATGGAAGCTCTATCCAAATATAGAGCGATTTCAAACAAACTTGTCACAGGTTAGGTTATACAACTTTCAGAACGTTTTATTCCAATTGGTTCCTTAGTACGTCAATTACTTAAAATCAATCTATAATAAAAGGGAGCTATATCTAAATCTGGACCGATTTTCACGAAACTTGGCAGACATCATTCTAGGCTCAATTAAGTACGTTATGCCAAATTTCGTGCAAATCGAAGGATATATAGGGACTTTGGTGCACCATTTACATGAAATCGGACGAAACTATATATGGGAGCTATATCTAAATCAGGACCTATTTTCACGAAACTTGGCAGACATCATTCTAGACTCAATTCAGTACGTTATGCCAAAATTCGTGCAAATCGGAAGATATTTAGCGACTTTGGTGGACCATTTACATCAAATCGGACGAAACTATATATGGGAGCTATATCTAAATCTGGACCGATTTTCTCCAAACTTGGCAGACATCCCTCTAGGCTTAATTCAGTACGTTATGCCAAATTTCGTGCAAATCAGAAGATATATAGGGACTTTGGGCACTATTTACATGAAATCGGACGAAACTATATATGGGAGCTATATCTAAATCTGGACCGATTTTCACGAAACTTGGCAGACATCATTCTAGACCTAAATGATTAGGCTGTACCAAATTTCGTGCAAATCGAAAGATATATAGGGACTTTGGGGCACCATTTACATGAAATCGGACGAAACTATATATGGGAGCTATATCTAAATCTGGACCGATTTTCTCCAAACTTGGCATACATCACTCAAGGCTTAATTCAGCACGTTATACCAAATTTCGTGCAAATCAAAAGATATATAGGGACTTTGGGGCACCATTTACATGAAATCGGACGAAACTATATATGGGAGCTATATCTAAATCTGGACCGATTTTCACGAAACTTGGCAGACATCATTCTAGACCTAAATGATTAGGCTGTACCAAATTTCGTGCAAATCGAAAGATATATAGGGACTTTGGGGCACCATTTACATGAAATCGGACGAAACTATATATGGGAGCTATATCTAAATCTGGACCGATTTTCACGAAACTTGGCAGACATCATTCTAGACCTAAATGATTAGGCTGTACCAAATTTCGTGCAAATCGAAAGATATATAGGGACCGTTTACATTAAATCGGTTAAATATATATATGGGAGCTATATCTAAATCTGAACCGATTTTTTCCAATTTCAATAGGGTTCGTCCTTGGGCCGAATAAGTGACCTATGCCAAATTTCATCCAATTCGGATCATAAATGCGACCTGTACTTTGTTTACAATTTAACATGGACAGACGGACAGACGGACGGACGGACGGACATGCATAAATCGACTCAGAAAGTGATTCTATGCACATTCTCAAAAGGAACCATGTAACAAACATATGCACAAAGACATAATACCCTGTACCACAGTGTGGTGAAGGGTATAAATACACGCCTTAGGCTACTAGGAAGAATATTGTTTTAAAAGTTCCACGCCTAAGGCCACATGGAAACAATATTTTTTTTTAATATCCAAGGGCAAAAAATATGCAAACAAATATCCACACCAATGGCTTTATTAAAACTTGAATTTAATTGTTTTTTTTTTTTTGGTTCCACTGTCTTGTTGAGGCTTATTTGCCTACAATTTTTTCGACTCTTAACTTAAGTGGTTTATAAGCCAGTTAGCCATACAATGTTCGTTCATACAATCCAGTCAACCGAACAACAGATCCAGCTAACCAGCCAACATCATTATGACCAACCAGCATTACCAACATCGTCCACATCGTCGTCATCGTCATCATCATTACAATAACATTCCAAAACTTTACCAAGCCATTTCGAACCAAAAGAAAAAAAATTGTAATTTACATGGCTTTACAACTGAAATGGAATACAAAAATAACAACAACAACAAAACTAAGTAGTTATTTTTGTGGGGACACTCATTTCCCCATGATGATGTTGTTGCTGCTGTTGTTGTTGTTATAGTTACATTTGCTGTGGCTGCAATGTTTATTTTAATTATTTTGTATATTTATTTATTTATTTTTACAGTTCGTCGTAATTTGTTTAAGCTTAGGGTGAACGTAACAAACACCCATTGTTTGCTAGGAGCCGGTTCAGACACACACACACACGCACACTGTGTGTATGATATGTATGTATGACAGTGTTGGTGGTTGTGCTATGTGTGTGTGTTTTTGTTGTTTTCACATCAACATCAAAGTTACAGGTCATAATGAAATAATTGAAAATTATTTTAAATTATTTTTCAATTCAACAATTACAACAAACAAAAAATTGGGGGACCAACAACAACAACAATAGCAATGAATAAGGGTATTTTTTTGGAAACAAATTGTTGATCATGTTTTGTAATTACGCAAATTATTTGAGAAAAATAACACAGAGAGGTTAATTGCGACAGAGAGGAAGTGAGAAAGGTCAAGGATTAGGGCTACTTGGAGAAAATATTCTTTTAAAAAATCCACGCCTAGGGCTACTTTGACAAAATATTCTTTTAAGAAATCCACCACTAAGGCTACTTTGAACAAATATTCTTAAAAAAATCCAAGCCTAAGGCTACTTGGAAGAAATATTCTTTAAAAAAATCCAAGCCTAAGGCTACTTGGAAAATATTCTTAAAAAAAATCCACGCCTAGGCCTACTTGGAAAAAATCTTCTTTTAAAAAATCCACGACTAGGGCAAGTTAGAAAAAATATTCTTTTAAAAAATCCACGCCTAGGGCTACTTTGAAAAAATATTCTTTTAAAAAATCCACGCCTAGGGCTACTTTGAAAAAATATTCTTTTAAAAAATCCACGCCTAGGGCTACTTTGAAAAAATATTCTTTTAAAAAATCCACGCCTAGGGCTACTTTGAAAAAATATTCTTTTAAAAAATCCACGCCTAGGGCTACTTTGAAAAAATATTCTTTTAAAAAATCCACGCCTAGGGCTACATGGAAAAATCTTTGTTTAAAAAATCCACGCCTAGGGCTACTTGGAAAAAATCTTTGTTTAAAAAATCCACGCCTAGGGCTACTTTGAAAAAATATTCTTTTAAAAAATCCAAGCGTGAGGCTTCTTGGAAAAAATTTTCTTTTAAAATATCCACGACTAAGGCTACTTGGAGAAAATATTCTTTAAAAAAATCCAAGCTTAAAGCTACTTTGAAAAAATATTCTTTTAAAAAATCCACGCTTAGGGCTACTTGGAAAAAATATTCTTTTAAAAAATCAACGCCTAGGGCAAGTTGGTAAAAATCTTCTTTTAAAAAATCCGCGCCTAGGGCTACTTGGAAAAAATCTTCTTTTAAAAAATCCACGCCTAGGGCTACTTGGAAAAAATATTCTTTTAAAAAATTCACGCCTAGGGCTACTAGGAAAAAATATTCTTTTAAATGGAAAAAATATTCTTTTAAAAAACCCACGCCTAGGGCTTCTTGAAAAAATCTTCTTTTAAACAACCCACGCCTAGGGCTTCTTGAAAAAATCTTCTTTTAAACAACCCACGCCTAGGGCTTCTTGAAAAAATCTTCTTTTAAAAAATCCACGCCTAGGGCAAGTTAGAAAAAATATTCTTTTAAAAAATCCACGCCTAGGGCAAGTTGGAAAAAATATTCTTTTAAAAAATCCACGCCTAGGGGTAGTTGGAAAAAATCTTCTTTTAAAAAATCCACGCCTAGGGCAAGTTGGAATAAATATTCTTTTAAAAAATCCACGCCTAGGGGTAGTTGGAAAAAATCTTCTTTTAAAAAATCCACGCCTAGGGCTACTTGGAAAAAATCTTTGTTTAAAAAATCCACTTGGAAAAAATATTCTTTAAAAAAATCCACGCCTATGGGTACTTGGAAAAAATATTCTTTAAAAAAATCCACGCCTATGGGTACTTGGAAAATATTCTTTTAAAAAATCCACGCCTATGGGTACTTGGAAAAAATATTCTTTTAAAAAATCCACGCCTATGGGTACTTGGAAAAAATATTCTTTTAAAAAATCCACGCCTAGGGCTACATGGAAAAATCTTTGTTTAAAAAATCCACGCCTAGGGCTACTTGGAAAAAATCTTTGTTTAAAAAATCCAAGCCTAGGGCTATTTGGAAAAAGTTTTGTTAAAAAATTCCACCCATATGGCTACTTGGAAAAATATTGATTAAAATCAATCCACTCGTATTTTAATGTTAACTTTCTAATTGTGCAAAATTGCCACTTGAATCCTAACCTGATTAGACTCTCGATAGAAAAAAATCTCCAAATTCAATTAAGCAATAAAAAGCCAATTATTGACAATCAAAATCACAAAAAAAAAAATAAAAAAAATTAAATAAAAAAATAATTCATTAATAAAAACAAGTGTTGGGGGCAAGATATTGCCGATGTTTCTTTTCGCTTTTTTTGGCAACTTCTCATCAAGTACAGAGAGATTTTGAACAAGTTTTTTTTAAATTATCATGCTTTGGGGTTTCTCTACCTCTCTCTTCCTTCAAACTTTCATTTGCTGTTGAGCGATTTTTAGACTATTTTTTGTATTATTTTTGGCTACCCCTGAATCTGCTATGGCATAAATTAACCCTTTCAAGGGCCACTTGAGGTTGCAGCATTCAATTTTACAATTTACTGCAATTGAATTTGTGATTCAAAATTAATTGACTTCTTTTTTCTCTCTAGTAACCGCTTACAAATGGATTTATGCATCGGCAGCAGCAGCAGCCACACTACAACGACCTAAAAACGACCGATTTTAGCTCTTTGTTGTTGCGCCTCCTTTCTGCTCCGTCTGTTGCAAATTCCACGGTGTTGTTGCATTTACACTTGTAAGCCGCCTTTGACATTTGCCTGATTTTTGTGTGGGCCCTAACAAAAGCTCGAAGTGTGAACAGGAGAAAAAATAACACAAAAACAACAAAGGCCAACATAAAGTTCGCCAGTCAACCAGCCAACGTTGTTCGTTCGACTTCACACCTCAAACAAAACAAGTCAAAGTGTTGAAGTGCTACTTGGAGAACATTGTTTTAATTTTTTTTATATTTCGGGTAGATTTTGTAACGACGCATAAACTGATTTTTATAGGAGGAGGAGGAGGAGTAAATTTGACCTTTGCATAATTTTTGGGGATTTAAAAGATGTATTTTCATAGAATTAAAATAAAAATGTGAATGAATTTTTTTTTTTTTGATTTTAAATGAATAATTTTTCCAAGTAGCCCTAGGCGTGGATTGTAAATAAATAATTTTTCCAAGTAGCCATAGGCGTGGATTTTAAATGAATATTTTTTAAAGATAACTTTTAAAAAATCCACGCTTTATGGTAGACCTTTAAAGATAACTTTTAAACCAGTAAGGAAAGTAGTAACGTTGGACTGGGCCGACTATATGATACCCTTTACCACTTTGGGTATATTTTACATATATATCCTAACAGACGACGCGTTTTGTTATAAATCTATATCTGAACCGATTTCAGGGAAACTTGTCAGAGACTAATTTATATAACATCAGGACGTTGTGTCAATCGGCCTAGCTATGGATCTGTTCACGAAGCTTAGCAACATCATTCTAGACTTAATTCAGTACCCTATACCAAAATTCGTGCAAATCTAATGATATATAGGGTCTTTGGTGCATCGTAAGATATATAGGGACTTTGGAGCTATATCTAAATCTGAACCGATTTTCACGAAACTTGGCAGAAATCATTCTCGATCTTATTCATAACTCTGTGCCAAATTTCGTGCACTTCAAAAGATTTCCAGATTAGTGGACTATTTACCTAAAATCGGGCGAAGCTATATATGGGAGCTGTATCTAAATCTGAATCGATTTTCACGAAACTTTGCACACATCATTCTATACTTAATTTAGTACGCTGTACCAAATTTCGTGCAAATCGAAAGATATATAGGGACTTTGGTACACAACTAACCTTAAATCGTACGAAGATATATATGGGAGCTACATCTAAATCTGAACCGATTTTCACGAAACTTGCCAAACATCATTCTAGACCTTATTCATTACGCTGTGCCAAATTTCGTGCAAATCGAACGATATATGACACATTGGTACACCATTTACATTAAATCGGACGAATATATATATGCGAGCTATATCTAAATCTGGACCAATTTCCAGGAAACTTAACACACATCATTCTACACCTAATTAATTAAGCTGTGCCAAATTTCGTGCAGATCGAAGGATATTTAGGGACTTTGGCGCACCATTTACCTGAAATCGGACGAAGATATATATGGGAGCTACATCTAAATCTGAACCGATTTTCACGAAACTTGCCAAACATCATTCTGAACCGATTTTCACGAAACTTGCCAAACATCATTCTAGACCTTATTCATTACGCTGTGCCAAATTTCGTGCAAGTCAAAAGATTTCCCAGGACTTTAGTGGGCTATTTACCTAAAATTGGGCAAAGCTATATATGGGAGCTATATCTAAATCTGAACCGATTTTCACGAAACTTTGCACATATCATTCGTGACCTTATTCAGTACTCTGTGCCAAATTTCGTGCAAATCGAAAGATGTATAGGGACTTTGGTGCACCATTTACCTTAGATCGGACGAAAATATATATGGGAGCTATATCTAAATCTGAACCGATTTTTCCCAATTTCAATAGGGTTCGTCCTTGGGAGAAACAAATGAGCTTTGCCAAATTTCATCCAATTCGGATCAAAATGCGACCTGTATTTTGTTTACAATTTAACATGGACAGACAGACAGACGGACGGACGGACATGCATAAATAGACTTAGCAATTGTTTCTATGCTTATTCTCAAAAGGAACCATGG